GGCGGAGGGCGCGGGCCGCAGCCCCTGCCCGGTCCCGCCGCCACCGCGCCCGCCGCTGCCCTCCGCTCGGCGCCCGGCGGGGGCTCGCGCTCCGGCCCCCCAGCTCCCCGCCGTTAATTATAATAATCCTGAGTACTAATAAATTATGCTAAGTCGCGGGGGGGCCGCGGGAGCCGGGCCGAGTATGAATATGAATATGTAAAATGCCGTAATGATTACCTGCTGCTGCCGCCGCCGCCGCTGAACTCTCATCTTGACTCGCTGCTCCTCCGTCCGCCATTTTGAATATTTTAACCAAAATCGCCCGGTCGATGAGCCCTCCCTCGCTCCGCGCCCCTCCCCCGTCCGCGCCGCCTCGCCCCGCCCGCGCTCGCGGCTCCCCGGGCTCGCGCCAGGGGGCGCGCGAGGCCGGCACTACTCGCCGCCGGCCCCCTGGCGGAGCTCCACCCTCTCGCGCGCTCTGCGCACGCGCGTCCAGGCTGCCACGGCCTCCACCACCCCTAAAGCGCACTCAACCTGCCAGTCACCCTGGCGCTCCATATTTTGGCGACCGCTCTACGCATGCGTGACTTCCTCCACGCGCCTGAGAAGCAGCTAGCGCATGCGCTTCTTCCCTTGCCGCCCTCCTGAAGCGCGGCCCCAGGGAAAAGTGTAGTGTAGAGCGCCGGTATCTTCTTACGGTTCTCCCGCCTCGCTCCGCCTTCCCCGGCGGCGCTATGAGAGGCGGGCAGGAAGCCCAGCGGTCGCTTTCCGCGCGGTTGACGCGCTAACAAAGCCGGGGCCGCGGGCCCGCTAGGTGACTTCCGGCCCCGCGGGCAGGTAGGCGGAAGCGCCCGCCGCGGGCAGAGGCACCTGCCGGCCGCTTCGCCTCCCGCGTCCGCTCGGGCCCCGGGCCCCGGGCCCCCGCCGCACTTCCCCGCGGCCTCCCGGGCGGGTCGCCTGCCCCTTGGCGCGACGGGACGGCCTGACCAGAGCCGTGGACTTGGCCTCGCCTCGCGTAGTGGGCAGCCCAGTGGGCGGTCTCCGGCGTAGCCCTTGCTTCCTGAAGAGTCGGGACTGCGAGGCCGGTAGCCCTGCGCTCGGGCTCGGGCCGATTGTCTTATGACTTCTTATATATAAACTCCCCGGGTTTTTCAAGTCTCTCTCAAGAGTAATGAGAAAAGTCGTTCGTGGTAAGAAGCCCGCCCTGAAGTGTCCTGCAGGGGTGACTACGGTCTCCACCGCCAGCCGCGCACCGGGTTCAGCTGCTGACGCTGGAGCCCAGGGCCCTGCCCCGGACGGCCACTCTGTGGGTTGAAACTGGTCCTGGTGGTTCAGCCCGAGGGGACGCGCAGGAGCGCGGAAGCCAAGCGGTGGGACCGCCGGCTGTTAGGAAGCCAAGCGGTGGGACCGCCGGCTGTTGGGAACCAGGCCAGAGGAGTCCTGAGACCAGACCGGGGGCCTGCTCAGGGTCAGCGGCCGTGTCCACACAAGTACAGAGCCCTTCCTCAGGGCAGCGAACCTGAAATCCCCTCCGAGAACTCGGATGCCCTTATTTAAGTCCATAGCTTCTATTTAATCTTAGTTGCACCTCTTTGATTCAAAAAGTAAATTAATGTGACATCAGAAAGGCACTGAAGCTAGTGAATGTGCTCTTCAGTCTTTACTGTTTCATTTCCATAAAAGGAAATCGTAATGGAGTGAATTTTAAGGAAAATTTTCTGTGAGGAAAAATGTTTAAAATAGTTACGTCGATGTTTCATGTTTATCTTAATGAAAAAATGTTTCAAACTGCCTAGAGAAACTCCTGGGCTGCTTAGGTGCTCACAAACGAAGACATAATAGTACTTAAACAGTTATATAAGGATTTTTAAAACTGCTGAAGTCTTGTAATCTACAAAAACTTTAGGAGCGTCTTATATTCTGCCATGAACTTTACTAGGTAGTAAGGATAGGAAAATGTTGGAACACTGCCTTGACCTCAGCAAGCATAGGGTTGTCAACACTCTCTGGAAGACAGGAACTCTGCTCCTCCCAGTTTTCCAGGAGGGGGGAATTGAGGGATAGAGATGTCAAGTAACAGTCTTCACAGGCTGAGGAGAAACTTGGGATTGGAACTGGTAGCCTCCTTGTACTGAACTGAACTCTTGGTGCTGCAACATGCATTTTAAAAAGACTCCAGGAAATGTATTTCAATGATAATCATTGCCTCAGGTGATATGATTAAAAATTACCATTTTTATGTTAATGTTATATCACTATTAAATAACAGAGTGGAAATTTAAACATAGGCAAGGAACAGTACTCTTAACCATGGTACTACACTGTTTGCTATGGATCAGGCAAAATCTGGAGGTGTATTTAGTTCACAGTGGGGAGAAAATACACTAACGTCCTGTGTGTAAGCGCAAAATAAATATGTATTCATGAATGAGAACTTAACATTCACACAAAAATGCACACAAATAGCAACTCTTATAATTGCCAAAAATCAGAAATAGTCCAAATGTCCTTCAAAGATGAATGAATAAAACTGGTACATTTGTACCATGGGATACTGTTCAACAACAAACAGGAATAACCTGTTTGTATATTCAACAAGCTAAATGAATCTCAAAGCCATTATATTGAGTGAAAGAAACCAGTCTCAAAAGGTTACATAATCTGATTCCATATATGATGTCAATGAAATAGCAAAACTATAATGAAGGAATACAGACCAGTGGTTGCCAGTGGGTAGTGACAGGGAAAGGTGTAAATGTAAGGAATAGGCACAAGAGAGGTTTTGGCAGGTAGTGCAGTTCTGCATCTTGACTGTGATACACATAAAGTGAATACACATAACACATGCAAAATGAAGAGGGGTGGTCAATTCTGCCTAGACATTCCTGTATCATTGTGAACGATTCACTCTGTCTTACCAATGGGCATCATGCAAGGCTCCCTTGCAGCTAGATATGGCCTTGTGTTAATTTTTGGCTATTATATTATTGGGTGGGTTTTCCAGGAGATCTCCTAAAAGAAGCAAATTTGTTTTGTTTTGTTTTTTTTTCCCCCTTTCCTGCTGTGTAGAATGAAGATACAAAGATCAAAATTTGGGCATCATTTTTGTATGCAGTACTATCTTCAAGATGCCAGCTTCATACCATGTTAGGAACAGCAAGCAGATGGGGTCTTCACAGGTTCAGGAGAAGCTTGGGATTGGAACTGGTAGCCTCCTTGTACTGAACTTCACTCAGTGCTGCCACATGCTTTTGTTAGAGACTCCAGGAAATGTATTTCAATGATTGTCATTGCCTCAGGGGACAAATACTACCATTTTTTATGAACATCCTCAACAGTTCACCTGATCAGAAAAATTAACATTCTACTTTAACAATTTGTTTAGTGGCCTAGGGAAGCCACTAAATTTTGCAGCAAAGGCTTTCAAGCCATGTTCCATGAAGCATTCAGGGTTGGCTTACGTGAAAAGCCTTCTGCCTCCTCTGCAGCCAGAAAGGCTTTGCTTTACCATGTTTTGGTATCGCTGTTTTTAAAAATGTGTGTGTGTGTATTTGTTTGTGAGACAGAGAGAGAGGGAAGGGAAAATAAATTTCTGTATGGGAAGATTCACCCAAGAAATTTCATTGCTTGAAGATGCTTATGCTATACATCATTAAAGAAAGTAAATTTTACAAGTTTTCAAAATAAAATGGTCATGACCATTTTTTTAGATATGAAGTATTGGGACCTCAATCTCCTTTTTGTGAATGTAAAGTGAACCCAGAAATTTTTCCAAGGAAGATTTGGACATATCTCAGATATTTCCACTTTATTTGTTTGTTTTGATACCAGGGATGGAACTCCTGCACTCAATCACTGAGCCACATCCCCAGCCCTATTTTTTTTTTTTTTTTTTTTTTTGTATTTTATTTAGAGATGAGGTCTCACTGAGTTATTTAGTGCCTCGCTGTTGCTGAGGCTGGCTTTGAACTCGCAATCCTCCTGTCTCAGCTTCCTGAGCTGCTGGGATTACAGGCATGCGCCACTGCACCCAGCTTTCCATAGTTCTTAAGCAGGTAGACAAGCTGTCTATTAATGAATGTGTACTGGTCGCATGTCTTAACGTTCATAAAAGGATGTCAAACCTACTTTACCTAAGTGCTGCAATTTGTGTTGTATCCTTAATGGACAATGTAAAATATTTCTACTTCTCAGAGAATGTACACGGGAATCTTTATAATTCAGTACTCCTCAGAAAGCTCAATAACATTTATGGAGAACTGTCTGAATAGGTACATAGCCATTTTCTCCTCTAGTTCAGGGTCAGCAAATGCATGACACTGCTCTTGCTACTATACCTTCAAAGCCCCTGGCCAACTTTAATCCATAACCCTTCCTTGGGCTGAGCCTAGAATCTTGCTCAAACATCACTCTTTCCAACCAGAGCTTCAGGCAGCCATTGGCACCTCATCAGCATTGGCATGCAGCATGAAATCCATTTGCTATTTCACCTCTAGATATTCTTAAAAGCCAAACTGTCATAAAGCCATGCACTAGAAATTTTGTTTCCTCCTAAGAGTCTTTCCTAGAATCATGCTTTGGACTTATGTCATCAGCCTACATTAAAATCATAAGAAGAAGAACTCTTAGAAATGCACCATATTTACTATAGGAGTGTTTTTGGAATCTTCTTTCTGAGGGTTCTTCTCTTAACATCTGAAGGGCAAAGGTTAAGTAGCCTACCTAGGTTCACACAGTAAGGGACAGAGCTAGGGATTGAGCCAGACTGCCTTTCCTCCCTGCTCCCTGTCTTGGTGCCTGCCCAGCTGCCTCCGACCCTGCCTTCCTCCTGCACCTGCATGTTCAGTCCTTCACTTTGTCTCCAGGTGTTGAGGTGCCCCTTTTTTCCTCTGCATTTATTGATTCCATTTCTTCTCTTCCTCTCCTGCTGCTTCCTATCCTTCCTCATAAGCTTTTTCCAGATAAACTCTCCCTGCATTTATTCATCAACCCACGACAGTCTGACAACTGCTCCAATCATTTTCCTGAAATTACTTTACTGGAAGTCACTGATGACCTCCCAGCTGCCAGATCTGATGACATCTTCACTCTTCATCTTGGCCCATCTCAGCAATTTGACAATGCTGATGGTTCCTTCCTTCTTAAAGACATCTCTGCCTCTGTCCTCAATGACAGATTGCTCTCCAGTCTCTCCTCTTATCTCTCTAACCACTTCTTGATTTTCCTCACTGGATCCTCTTCTTCCCATCTAACATAGTACTCTCCAGGGACCTGTTCTTGCCCCTCTGTTCATGGGACAGACAAGCTTATTTGTTGTCAGCTTCTCTCTCTGAAGGTGACTCCTAAATCTGCAGCATTGGTCTTATCTCTTCTCTGATTGTCAGATGATGCTACATTTATCTCTCTTACTAGGGTATAAACCATGCAAGGACTGGGCTCTAACCTCATTATTTTAAAAAATCTCTTTAATATTATAGTACAGGTCCTGGACATAGTCTATGCTTAGTATCTCTTTTAAAACAGACTTTCTTGCATTCTTCCATCTGTATTATAGTGACCATCCAGTGCCATGTAAAAGTCTCCATTTATCCACAAGCATCAGACACCTGTACCTGGCATTGCTCTAGGCACAACATTTTCTTTGGATTTTTGTAATATTCTAAAATCAATATACATTTAATTCAACCTTATAATCTTTCAAGCAGCATCTATAATCCTATATTTTATTTACTGTAAGATGCACTTTTCTCATATTTTGATATCTGAAATCAACATGTGTTGTACAAGAAGGTAATTGTCATAGTCTATTTGGCAGTATTTTTAATAGTAAATAAAATAATAGAAGAACTTATAACCAGTGATATTTTTAATTCTATGAAATATTGTATTTTATTCTGAGAAGATTTAGAAATATCCTTCTAACATTTTCTATCAACTGGGAAATGTTTAATAATTCTTAGTGTACTGGTGTTTTTTTTGTTGTTGTTTTTTTAATGCAGGAAAAGAGATATTTAAAGGCTTTTCAATATTTAGGTTAAAATGGTGATTTCCATTAGGACAGGTTCACACATCCATATAGTCCTCTGCTTCAAATACACAGCAATGATGGGCAAAATAGATAAAGAGAAAACTAAAAAGAAGAAGTCTGAAATAATAATTTCCACAAGCTAGGCAGAACACACCAGTGCAAACCATGCACAGGTCTGTTGCTTTGGGGCTGCTACTCTGCAGCTCAGAGCAGGTGGTGTGCTACTAAGGAACGCAAAGATGCCAGTCACTGCCCCATCTCTTTCTCTTTCACACACACATGCATCACACGCGTCTTTTGTAATTTTAATAGATTCATTTTTTTTTGTAGTGATGCTGGGGGTTGAACCTAGGGCCTTCTATATGCTAGGCAATCACTCTACTACTGAGCTACATCCCAGCCCCTTAATAGATATGTCTTACATAAAAATCAGAACTGCAACATTTTATGGTACAGAGAAGTTTCATGTTTCATGTTCCCCACTTCCTCTCCTCTTTGGGAAATTCTTTTTATTAGCTTGTTATGTATCCTTCCAACACCTCTCCTTGCAACTTTTTTTTCCTTGCAAAATAAGAAAAATACATGTATATCTACATATAGACTCTCCTTTTGCTCCTTTCTTAAAAAGCTAGTGCAACTTACACACTGCTTTGTATCTTGTGTTTTCACTTAACGGTACCTGCAAGAGATTCCTCCTCATCCAGACATGGAGATCTTTATCATTCTTTTTCTGTGGCTCTGTGTGATTCCCTGTGTCCAGCATGGTTTACTCAACCAGTTATCTCTTGGTGGACAGGCGTATTTATAAACATAGCCTGGTGCACTGTGACAGTGACTGGTGTCACTGCATACTCCCAAGAGCCTTTGTAAATAGAGGCTGAGTAAAGCCTCTGCCTAAGTGCTGCCTGGGGCTGCAGCTTCACAGGAAGTTGAGAGGAGAACAAGCAGGAGGACAGAGACACAGCCTTGCAACAGCAAGTGTGTGAAACCACCTCCCCGAGCCCCTAACCTCCATCCTGAGATCTGGGAGGTAGAATGGAGGTGACCACAGAACTAGGAAACAGCAAATGAGAGAGAGTTCAAAACATATGTATGTATGCAGGGATAACAATATATATTTCAAAGTAATGTGTGTAAATGTTAATATCACATAGTAAATATTTTATTAAAATTAAATACTAATAAATAGTAAATTATATTCAATTCATATTAAAGCAATTTATCCAATTTTAAAATTGGTTTCGTACCTAAAATCTAGATCAGGATTAGTTCCCAGTGGTTTAAAAATGAAAAATAAAAGTAAAACTTCTAGAAGAAAACATCAATGATTTCCTTTATAAGAAAGCTATTTCAGGGGCTGGGGTTGTGGTCTGTGGTAGAGCGCTTGTCTAGCATGTGTGAGGCCCTGGGTTTGATCCTCACCACCACATATAAATAAATAAAATAAAGGTATTGTGTCCACCTACAACTAAAAGAGTGTGTGTGTGTGTATATATATATATATATATAAAATTTTTAAAAGAAAGCTAGTTCAGTAATATTATTGTCAGAAAAGAAACAATTAAAGGCAAAAAGGAATAAAAATGCATTGTAACAAAAAACTGAAGCATCAAGAAACTCTAACAATTATGAATTATATGAAAATAACAACCTACCTAGAAAAATATAAAATAAAAATTGCCCATTATGAAGAGAGATCAGTAAAATCACAAGCATAGAAGTTTATAATACAAAAGAAATTATACCTACTGTTATTACTTCACCAAAACTACAAACTAACCATGGTACCCATCCCCTATCATTATAATCAAATCAGTGTGTCCAGATTGAGCCTGAACTGTGTGTACCACTAGTGTCCAGCCATGTCTGGACATATCTGATAGGGAAAGAAATGGAAAGTGTGTGCTCTTGAAGACCAGAGGAATGTACTGGGAGAAAAACTGCTCCAGGTGATCCTGGTGCTGCCAACTTGACCATGCCTCTGAGTCCATTTTGGTCTCTTAAAAAAATAGGTGACTAGGATTCGAGCTTCATGTCTGTCCTGAGGCTAAACTACCAGCTCAGAGCCCCATAAGCCTTCATCTGTGGAGTCCTATGGAGAAGTAGCTCTAGTTGCAGGGATGATATTAAAAATAGGTAGCACCTTCTGTGTTGTGACAAGACAAAACAGGCACCTCTGTTTTGTGGTACTTCGTCAGGACGTGCTAGATGGTTCCTGTACTGAGGCACACCTGATAGATTTCAGCCTGTCCACAAGGTCTCCTTTGACACTTCCAGGAGGACAGGGGAACTCTGATTCCCCTTTGACAGAGTTGAACACACAAAAGGGGGAACTCTGCCTATTCTGACAAATGGGATTGCAGTGCTTGTGGGAGAGGGACCAGCAGCACCAACCAAAAGTAGCAGCGGGCTAGTTATGGGCTTTTGTTCTTCTCTTTCCAGAGATATCATTTCCAGAGAGAAAAACTACAAGACCTCTCCCCAAGACCATTGTAGTCTATTGGTAGTCACCAGGATGGATGAAGTACATCCTATGAACGAAGTACATGCTGTCAGGGGAGCTCAGAGCAGGTGCCTTTGACTCCTAACTTACACCAGTGCAGGTGAGGAGTAGATGAGAGCTAGTAAACAGAACCCTTGGACCACCACTAGCTTTCTGATCGGGTGGCTGACGGTCCCCTCACAAAGA